AGCAGTACTTCCATACAATGAAGGAACCTCGGAAACCTTACTCAGAATTCTTAACAAGGCAGGAATAAAAGTGGCTGGTATTCAAACCCACAAACTCAATTAGAAATAAGCTTTGTCGGTTAAAGGATCAATCCTGTGGAGCCTTTAAAACAAAAGAATTTAGTTTATCTAATATCCTGTCTGCAATGATTGTCAGGTCAAATACATAGCTCAAACTAGTAGAACAGGATCAGTCAGACTAGTGGAGCATAAAAACCTAGAAAAACCTACATTATTTGACCCAAATAAGATAAGAAATCCAGAGATTATCTCATCTATAGCACTGCATGCAATTACACACAACCATACAATAGGATGGGATAAGATGAGGGTTTTAAAATCTAATGTAACAGCAGGGTGGAGGGAGAGATTGATAACAACGGAAGCTTTATGCTTATCGAATCAACTGCAAACACGTGTAGTAGGAATGATTCAACACCTGTCCAGGTGGACATCTGGAAAATTCTACTACCCCTACGACGACAAATAGGAGAGGACAAAGAAAACTATGAAACTCAAGTTTCAAAGTCGTGTGATTATAATTAATGCTATGATTATGAACATTAACAAATTTTGTTCGAAACTGTGTCATCCAGTAAATAATAATACTGTTTCTTCACTGTGTGATACATCTAATAAACAAACTAATATGGAATTACTTACTACCACAGTGCCTAAGGTTTACACATATATTAAGTCGGGTTTCGATAGTGTTACATTGAGATTGTGATATATAATTTTAAAAAATTTTTAAAAAAGTAATAAAGAAACAAATAAGATAAAGAAGGCATTAAACTTACATCCATTTATCATGTATTTGTAAAAAGCGGGTAACACCAGTTTGTGCAGCCAAATTACAAATATGAACATGAACATCTAAAAAGCAATCCAGAGAAAATGTACAAAATAGGTTGTATTTTTGATATAATGGAGAAGATTTCTAGCTCAAGTGGATGATTTCGATGTAGTTGTGCTCTCTAAGCTAGCTGGATGCTTTATTTGCGAAACTTTTATCGCCCTTCTCCTACTATGCAACACCTTCAGCGCATCATACTTCAATTTGTTGAAATGGGCTTTTAGATTTCTCCATGAGTTTATAGATCATCTCTCCTGGTGGGTGACCTTGAAAGTGATTGCTTGTTTCTGTGTGTTTTCATATCCTCTAGAATAATTGTAGTGTTGGTACTGATTGTTTCTTTGACCTAAAGTTTGACCCTTTGTGTGTGACATTTCCTTCTTATCGATTGGTAAATTTTATCCATGTCAATGTATCTATTAATTGACGATTCACTGGAATACCAGGCTGCGGAAAATTCTCTGACATTCTTGGTGATTCCTTTGTCTAGTATTTGAATGTTGTCCGGATATGATATCGCTGCATACAGAAAACCACGGACATCAATTCAACTGGGACAACGTCCAAATATTAAGCAGACGAAACACCAAGAATGCTAGAGAATTTTTAGAAGCCCGTCTGGTATTCCAGTGAATCGTCAATCAATAGACACATCGGGACAGACAAAATTTACCAACCAATAAGAAGGAAATCTCACACACAAAGGGTCAAACTTCAGATCAAGGAAACAATCAGTACCAACACCACAATTATTCTAGAGGATGTGAAAACACACAGAAACAAGCAATCACTTTCAAGGTCACCCACCAGGAGAGATGACTAATAAACTCATGGAGAAATCTAAAAGCTCACTTCAACAAATTGAAGTATGATGTGCTGAAGATGTTGCCTAGTAGGGGCATGGCGATGAAAGTTTCGCAAATAATCCATCCAGCTCAGAGAACACAATGACATCAAAAAAATGTATTTTCAAATAAGCAACAGTTAGTACGATATAAGTATAAGAAAGGGACAAGTGAATTTAAAAAATATATACATTAAATCAAAGGAACCATTAAAAAGGCATTTGCAGAAAAGAGAAACTTTTTATTTCTGACGAAGTCATCAACTGACTGACTAACTGTCTGGCTGGTTTTAACATAGAACTTTGCACAGACGTGCGCCAGTTCGAGTTGCCACTCTCCCTCCATGTAGCACACAAAGCGACAGAAGAGAGTAAAGAGAGATTCAAAATAGAAATAATAAACACAGGTGTGAGTGAGGGAAGAAGAATAGTAATATGGAAAAAAATAGAATTTTACTACATATTATAAATCACAAGGAGTAGATGGATATGCGCCAGCCATCGAAGAGAAGGATGATTTTGAGCCATATCACCAATTATCTCCAGCTGTCATCGGTTTTCATCATCCCGAGGACCCAAACCAGACAGCACCCTACGCCTCCCTATGCGTATATATATATATATATATATATATATATATAATTGCCTTGGGTTCCAAGAGGAACGTAGAGCTTCAAAATCACACTGCCATTTCCTCCAGTTCCCTGAAGTCCTGTTTACCTGGCCCCACATGATTGCCTATCAGTTCTCACCTCCTCCTCATCAAATGATACCCTCCATGTCATCCTCAGAACACCGGCCCAACTCATCGTTTCCCAATCGAGTTACACTCAAGCGATGGCCTGGCTAACATGCAATGTCAATGAACGGTCGCCTCAGTAACATGTATCTGATTCACCTCCACTTTTTCTTAAGAATATTTGCTGATCACTGGGTTCTTGACTGGTTTGTTCATCGCCAGGGTTTTTGTTGCCGTCCGTCATCTCATCTTCAGTATGAAATCAGTGAAGGTGGCAACTGTTTGATGAAAGTCTGAAGTGGCCTTCCAAGAATGCTTTTCTTGACCCCCCTAGTCATATATAGAATAACTGATTCAAAATGTGTATAGCATATTCAAGTGAAGAGAATATTTATCGGTAGTACATTGTATGACATGACGTCACTCCATCTCAAACAAAGCTCAGTGCTCCACATTTCCCCTTCATTGCATTCTTGAAATGATGCACAGCAGCAGGTTGCAAGTCAATTAAAAATCCATCCTAGTTTAGGGCTTTCCACATGGTCTATAAACTTGCCTTGTAACCATAAGGCTTTTGGTTCGAACCCCGGTAGGTACGTAATGAGGAAAAGTCCCAAACGAAACAGGACGAAACAGGTGTCCAGTACTCCCTAGTTTTCAACTATTCTATAACTGATATCAACCGGTGATCGAACACTTGGAACCAGAGGCGTCGATAAGACAGTGTCAAACTGATTCACTGCCAAAAATGAAAAGCTTATGTATATACACATCAGATGAGAAGAAGGCTAGAATAAACAAAATCCAAGTGGGAGTAGAACATAAATGATGAAGCATATACAGCAGGTAGAGTATAATCATACAAGGAGAACTATTACAGGCAACATAGAATGTTAACACAGTTAATGAGATTCAGGTACATGAATATTTGTAGGTATAAATTATGCTACTTACTAATATTAAGTAGTATAAGTTTTTGAAATAAGAAAACGGGAGTACGCCTTATAAGAAGCAAAGTAAAGCATTGAGGGCAGCTTTCTCCTTTTTTTTAAGTGCTGGTTTGCAAGGATCTTATTTGATTGGTTACAAGATTGCCGTCCAGTAATTCCTGCAGGTTCTCCAAAGGTTTCCTAACCGATGTCAGAGCATGATGAAATATTTCTTCATTGGCTTCATAGATAGATTCACTTGTAGTCTAATGGTTCGACAGTTAGTTTAATCCTCAAGTCTTTGAACCATATAGAAGATGTGAAATGAGATTAATCAAAGAGTTTTCTGATCTTGATTCTTCTGCTCACTACTGCATATCTACACAGTGATTTCAGCGGAATAATTTAAAAACCCGCCTGATCTTGCTTTCACACTCCTTCTTAGCTGGCTTTGACATCCTCATCCGTGTTGCGCGTAACTGAAGCAGCGCTGCACATGGTAAGTCGAACAAAAAACTTCCTTTAGATTTCTCAGATTGATGCTAGTGATTGATGCTTGTTGTTGCCGTCAGTCTTCGGAGGTACTTTCACCACCTCTGTCTTCTCTATATGTTCACTTGAAGTTCAAGTTGTTGCTTTGCAGTGATTTGATTGGTTTCAGGATTTCACCATGATGAGCTGACATTGGTTAGAGAAGCATTAGTAAACCTGGGATTACTGGACAGCTAGCTGTTTCGTCCTTGTTTGAGACTCTTCAGAAGGGCTCAGAACTAGGACCTTCCGGTTACAAGGCGAGCTAACTCGTAGACTAATAAGACACTGGAACGATCCAATGATCAGCCCATGAATTCCAACTTCTACCAAATCACGATATAGCGCGACTGGCACTAGCCAATGTCATTGCTGGCGAGTATTTGTCCTCGCACCCAACCTTCTGTACCCCACTGGTCACGACTTCCCACTAGAACTACCTACGTCAATAGGGGATAGTCACTAGTGAGCATCAGATTGATATTTCAATGTTGGTTTGCAGGGATTTGATTGGGAGTACTGAAAAGCTGCTTCGTCCTAGTTTGGGACTCTTCATCAGCACCCATCCAGTGATGTTCGAATCCAGGACCTTCACTTGAAGTCATTTCTTCACAGCCTCTTCTAACAACTTATTGGTTTACGCCTGTAAGTCTTCAAGTTTATGCATCATAGGAAATAAAGCATCTGCAAAATCCAGATCTTCTACGGTCTTTTTTATTTGGTTGACCAGATACCCACCTTCTCACTTTCCATGGTCCGTCTCACACAATAAATTCCACCACCACACTATCGGGCAGATTATAGCTGATAGCAGATACAGTCAGCCTTGTCCCACTGCTATCTTCACTTCAAAAGCCTCGTTGAGCTTTCCATTGGAGATATGATTATGAACAATGAACAAATTGTGTTCCAAACATTGTCATCCACAGTTAACCAGTAATACTGTTTTTTTTCACTGTATGTGTGTGATATATATTTAATAAACAAATGCACATAGAATTACATACTATCACCACAGTGTAGATAGATTATAAGGGGTATATAAGAGGAAGAAAAGCTTACCATTTCTCTGTATTAAATGTTCCATATGATTAAGTGTATTCAATGCTTCCCCGCCAGGATAATTATTTTGTGCCGCTTTAGTCAACAGGAGTGAACAGGCAGCATTCATAAGGAGATGAGAATAACAGCATAAGATAAGTAGAAGACGAGTGACTGTTATTCGTTTAGGCAGAGATTTCTTTTTCAACAGATTCGTATATACGCCTCCTCCTTTAGATGATAACATTGGTTTATCTCTAATATTTTACGTTAAAATTGTAAAGGAAAAAAAACAAAAATATATAATTGAGATTGATATGAATACAAAGAGACAGTGAGACAACAGAACTGAAGATGAATTTGTCTGTCTGCCCGTTTTCGACATAGAACTTTGCATCGATGTTCAGCAGTTCAAGTCGCCACACTCCCTCCATGTAGCACACAAAGCAAGAGAAGAAAGTACGAGAAATGCATATTAGAGACAGTAAACAGAGGTGTGAGACAAAGGAATAGTAATAACGAAGAACAAAACAGTTTAATTGGAAATCATAAGTCACAAGGGTTGGATGCATCTGCGCTGTCATTGAGAACGATTTTGAGCCAACCATATCACCAATTGTCTCTAGCCTTTATTGGTTTTTACCGTCCCGAGGACCCCAACCAGTCAGGAAGTCTACACCTTCCTACGTGGCTAGATTAAACTAACTGTTGTGGATTTCATTGACTGGTGCCATGTTTTGGTTTGACCACCGCTAGCTCTTCTCCAGCCTGACCCTATGTCAGCTAACATTGCCCATTGTCGAGGAAGGCGATGACTAGGCATACGTAACACATGTCCTAACCATCTCAGTCGATGTAATTTCACAGCCTGGTCGACTGATTTCCCCTCCTTACCTAGCACTCGACACCTAATCTCAATACTGCTCACCCTATTATACCATTTCACACGGGAGATAGAACACAAGCACATATGACCAAAGACAGCTAGCTAGTCTTTTCATGTCTTCCACTCTGAATGGCCAGGTCCCCCACCTATAAAGTCGGACGGAGCGGACTGTTGAGCAGTACACACGCCCTTTGGTCGTTAGTCGGATATCGCGTCTACGCCAGAGACGGCGAAAACTGGCGAATGCGAACCTAGCCCTCTGTATTCGTGCTGAAATTTCATCGGAGATCAACCCGTTTGGGCTGATGGTACTTCCCAAGTAAGTGAAGCGGTCAACGTGTTCTACCACTTCACTTCCTATTTCTAATCTAGGGGTCGATGAAGTCCAATCCTGCAGCATCATCTTACATTTTATAGGGGCGAATCGCATGCCAAACATGCGGAGATTGTTGCTCAGGGTGTTCAGTAGACTCTGCATTTTGTCAGCGTCCTCGCCTAGAAGGACTATATCGTCCGCATATTCTAAGTCAACGAGATTCTTCCCTGGTAGCAAGTCAATCCCTGAGTCTCTGAAGTGAGTTATGGTTAAGTTCATTAGTAACATCTATGATAAAATTGAATAGAAATGGGGATAGTGGGCATCCTTGACGGACGCCACTAGTCGTCACCACTTCAGATGACAACTCGCCGTAAGCCCTCACCTGGTTGCATGAGTACGAGTAGAGTGCTTTAATCAGTGCAATGTATTTTCTCGGCATCCCCTTTACAGCCAAGTATCGCCAGAGAACCTCACGGTCGACAGAATCGAATGTCACCTTTAGGTCAAGAAATATAATGATTGTTGGACACCGGTAGGAATGCCTATGTTCTAGAATCTGTCGAAGGGTGAAGATATGATGTAACACCCTCTTCCTGGCCTAAAACCTGCCTGGTTTTCTCTTGTTTGTGCCTCCCAAGCACCACTTAGTCTACGCAGTATTATTGAGTCTAGGACTTTAGATACTATATTAGTCAAGCTAAGCCCTCTGTGATTATCACAAGAAGACTTGTCTCTCTTCTTGATCAGTGACTTACACCAACCCGATGGGACTTCCTCTGATTCTCAGACGCTGTCTAGAACCTCAGTTAATGCAGGCGAAGATGAATTTAGGGGTGATTGAATTTATTGTTGTCATTATTACTATTATTATTCCCTTGGGTTCCGAGTGGAACATCATCATAGGGCTTCAACAACACATCTCCACTTTGTTTTGTTTGATGCTGCCCTCTTCAGCCGGGTCAAACGATCTCCCATAATCTCTCATCTCCTCCAAGTCACCCTCGCACCGACGACCAATTTGTCACTTTCCGTTGACATTCCCCACTCGAGTGATGACCTGCACTGTGCGCGACGACATTCAACGGCCTCTTCAATGTATGCCCGATCAATCCATCTCCATTTTCTGCTACATATTTGTTGAACGAGAGGTTCTTGGTTGGTATGTTGCAAGAGTTTCTTGTTGCTTATTCTTTCTGACCAGCCGGGTTGCCATTTGATCTTCAGTATGGAGCGGGCGCAGTCAGCTGTTGATAAAGGTTTGTAAATTGTTGGAAACCCTTTTTGTGACACGGTGACCAAGTTTCTGACCCGTAAAGAAGGACTGACTGACTGACTGACTTCATATTTGTGTTGAAAATCCGAATCGTGTTCTCTATGCTACGGAGTGCAGTGCAGAAGATTTCCAAACTGGTTTCAGGTTGATGAAGGCGTATCTTGCCTCTCCGATTCTGGCTGGAGTTGATATCTTCGTCCGTTCCGACTGACTGTAGTTGACACGATGCGTTCTAGATAAGTGAAGGAAGTAATCCCTGTCAAATCTCTTCCGTTGATGGTGATTGGTGCTGGTTTTTGTTGCTGATGCTGTTGGTTGGTTGGTTATCTTCATTAGCTCCGTCTTTTCTAGGTCAGCGTGTTCACCTAGGAAGGAGGACTATATCATCTACATAGTATAAGTCGACGAGATTATTCCCTGGTGGCAGCAAGTCAATCCCAAACTCGCCGAAGTCAGTTAGGATCAATTCCACTACTAAATCTATGGTGACATTAGACAGAAATGGGGACAGTAGGCATCCCTGGCTGGCACCACTGCACTGGTTGTCACCGCTTCAGATGACAACTCTCCATAGGCTCCCACGTGACTGGCTGCATGAGTTCGAGTAGAGTGACTGCCTTGATCAGTGCAATGTATTTACTCGGCATTCCCTTCACAGTCAAACATTGCCACAGTACCTCTCGGTCAACGCAGTCGAATGCCGGCTTCAGGTCAAGAAATATGCCGATTGTTGGACACCAGTAAGTATGCCTGTGTCCCAGAATCTGTCGAAGGACGAAGATATTATCAATACACCCTCTTCCTGGTCTAAAGCCTGTCTGGTTCTCTCGTGTTTGTTCCTCCCGAACACCGCTTACTCTACGCATGATTATTGAGCTTAGAACTCTAGATACCGTATTGGTGAAGCTAATCCCCTATGATTATTACAGGAAAACTTGTCACCCCTCTTGGATATCGGGATAATCAATAACTTTCACCAGCACGACGGGACTTCCTCTGATTCACAGACGCTGCCTTGTACCTTAGTTAACGTAGACAGTAAATTTTCTCCACCATCCTTGAATGCTTCTGGAGTCATTCTATAAGGTCTCGTTTATTTACCTCGTGTCAAATTAGTGACAGCTTTTGTAACCTCATTTGGAAACAGAAGACTTGTGTCTATATCCCATTCATGGAAGTGTTGAATGCTTGGGTAAGTTGAGCGTGGCTGTAGACCAATTAAATTAGTACTCACAATGCCTGAGTCGTTGAAGTCAGTTAGGGGTTAAGTCCATTAGTACATCTGTGATAAGATTAAACAGTAAAGGAGACAGTTGGCATCCCTTCTGACAGAAACCACTGATTTTCATCATTTCACAGTTTAGTCAGGTTGAGTAGAGTCCCTTGATTAGTACAATGCATCTACTCGGCGCTCCATTGACGGATAAACATCCCCTATAGTATCTCTACGTCAACGAAGTAGAATTATACCTTCAGGTCAAGAAATATGACACAACACTCTAATTGAGCGTTGAAGTTTCTGTAGCGATTCGGTCAAGTTTTGGGGGTGGAGTTGCTAGCACCACGCCCCAACCCTCCCTCTTTATCCGGGCTTGGGACCGGCTAGAAAACTAGCGAACTAGTAATCTAGGCGAGGTGCTTATTATAACCAATGATATTCTTAATTGTGGTGGACTCCATTATACGTCAGACAGTGGGAAACGAGAAGATAAGGATATCCTGGACCGACGTGAAGAATCTAGAAGACCTGGATTTCTCGCGTGGATGATTTATGTTTGATGTCACACAAAATCGAAGACTTACAAGCGAAAACAGACAAACTGGTCGAAGAAGCAGCAAAGACAGGAATCCAGGTGAACATAGACAAGACGGAGGTTAAGAAAATAACCAACCAACAACAATAATAACAGCAGCAAAATCCAGCGCCAATCACCATCAACGGGAGGGATTTCAAAGAGGTTACTTTATTCACTTATCTATAAGGAGCATTGTCTCAACTACAGGAGGAGCTGACGACGATGTCAAATCGAGAATCGGGAAGGCGAGAAACACTTTCATCAACCTGAAACCAATCTGGAAATCTTCGTCACTCCTCAGCATCAACAACAAAATTCCGATTTTCAATACAAACGTCAAGTCAGTCAGTTCTTCTATACGGATGGATCAGAAACTTGGCGGGTCACAAAGAATATTTCCAACAGCCTGTTGCAGACCATTATCAACAACTGTTTTCGCTCTATACTGAAGATCAGATGGCCGGAAAGAATCACCAACAAGAAACTATGGGAACAAACAAAACAAGAACCAATCGCCCAACAAATATGCAGGAGAAAGTGGAGATGGATTGGACACTCACTGGCTGAGGAGGCCACTGGGTGACATCGCGCGTCAGGCCAGTGCTCGAGTGGAACCCGAAAGGGAAGCGGTGAGTGGGACGTCCAAGGGTGACATGGAGGAGATCGTGTGAAGAAGAGTTGAAACAGTATGGACTAACATGGACTAACATCGGCCTCCAAAGCCTCAGGATGGTCAGGGGTGGGTGCCTTGCGCTGCGGGTTGGCCACCCCTCCTCACACCTCTTGAAATGCTCCCATATGACCGAGCGTCTTACATAGCCTCTCCTGAGGAAGTCCTACTCACTGCCTTCACGTGGCGGAGGTGTTTTTTCACCAAAGTGAGAGGGCGAAAGCGGATGCCCGGCGCTCTTCACCGGGTTGACTGTCCATTGGATGACAGTCTAGGGGAGATGGCTAAACCCTGATTCCAAACCTCCAACGACTGGCGTATGAAGCTCACTGGAGCTCACCGGCAGACGTATGGACAAAGGGCTTGTTGGATGTCCTGGATGTCTGGCCCCATTCAAAAAGACGTATGAACCGAACTCCGGTCACCGGCTGCCAATGGATAGTGAACTCCCTACTCCACTCCTACTGCCTTGTAGGTCACACTTGGTTGTGCAAAGGCTAGAGCTGCACTCTCAAACAACAGGCCGAGCGATTCTGGGGACGTCACTTGTACCAAATTCTCATGAAACTTCATGAACTCTCTTGATGTTCATGAAGCCGGCTCATCCTCCCGTAGGAGATAGCCGAAGTAAATAAAATAATAATAATAGCATGGATGCAGGTGAAAAGTACAGCAGAAGACAGAAGCAAGTGGAGACGTGCACAGTTGAAGCCCTATGTTCCACTAGGAACCCAAGGGAACAATAATAATAATATAGTAATACTCTAATTGAGCAAATTAATAGACATAACGAAAAATCCAAGAAAAGAGAACAAATCGTCAACTTACAAGTTAGTCCAAATATCTGCCACGACCAGATTCAGCACAGGTAATACATAAATAATAAAGCGTAATTCTTTATGCGGTAGAAATGAATACAAGCCAATAAATATTAAAGCAACAAAGAGTAATCCACTACTCTGAGGTATGATGATAACATCATCTTTGTTTGCGGAAAACTTTTGAAGTATTTTCACTATAATTATCGGGATCCATGCATATAGGATGAAACAAGAGGATAGAAGAGATCTTGGCAAAGCAGAGGTGAAATACCAATGAAAGGGATATATCTGAAAGATACTCACAGTTAAGGTTAAAGCATTTCACTTGACAAATAAGATATAGTTTTATATGATAACCATGGGAAAAAGATTAATACAGGTAAAATATTAATAAATGTAAATAAAATATAAACGAGCACTTCAATCGACGAGGTTGTAAAGTTACACCGATTGAGATGTCTAGGACATGGACATGTGTTACGCAAGCATCCCTAGCCATAGCCTTCCTCGACAACAGGCAATGTTAGCTGACACAGGGTCAGGTTGGAAAGAGCCAGTGGTGGTCAAAGCAAAACATGGCTTCATCACTCAATGAAATCCACAACAGTTAGTTTAAACCAGCCAGTCAACCACGTAGAGAGGTGTAGACTTCCTGACTGGTTGGGGTCCTCGGGACGGTAAGAACCAATGGCTGCAGACAATCGGTGATGTAGCTCAAAAGTGTTCTCAGTGACAGCGCAGATGCATCCACTCCTTTTGACTTATAATACCCAATGAAACCATATTGTTCTTCGTTATTACCATTCTTTTCGTCTCATATCTCTGTTTACTGTCTCTGTTTTGCATTCCTTTTTACTTTCTTTTCTTGCTGTTTGTTACATGGAGTGTGGCGACTTGAACTGTCTGTCAACATAGAACTTGGCACCGAAGTGCAGCTGTCCGAGTTGCCACGTTCCAAATAGCACACAAAGGTAGACAAGAAAATGAGTGAAGAGAATCAATAGAATTTCGACAAGTATAAGGGTGAAACAGAATGAGTAATGGTAGAAAGGAATATGAAAGATTACAGAAACTGAATACACCTGCACCATTGACAACGATTTTGAGCCATGTCACCTACTGTCTCCAGCCATTGATTCTTAGAGTCCCGAGGGTGGGCCCCAACCCAGAAGTCTGCATCTCCCTACCTGACTCAGTTTAACTGTCAAGGATTTCATGGATTGATGACATGTTTTTGTTTGGCCACCACCTACTCTTTTCCAACCTGCACCTATATCAGCTAGTAATGCCCGTCGGGGGAGGCGATGGTTAGGCATGCGCACCATGTGACCTAACCATCTCAATCTATGTAACTTAATAGCCTCTTCGATTGATTTTCCCTGT